AAAAAAAAAAAAAAGATTGCCAATTTTATTGAATGGATAAATATAGGCTGTGAAGGGACACAGATTTTTAAGGACAAAGAAATGATAAATGTAAAAGTATTGAAAATACTGGTAAAATACTAGTCCAAAGAATGTGATGTGTTTCCAAGGGTGAGGTTGTCTTTGAAGAAAAAAGGATTCTGGCAGAAAGAATCACTAAGTAATAAATAAGTCTTAAAAAATGAAGATAAAATAGGACAATTCATTGGGGAAAGAGAACTATAACTTGCAAGCATCTGAACATAGCATTGTTAAATGAAACCAAAAAATTGACAAAATTTCAAAGCTAATTGGACAGTTTCATTAGTGCAGATTTTAAACACATCATTCGCAGTAAATGATAGTTGAAGATGACAAATGTTACCAACAATGTGAATCTGACTAACATAATTACCAAACTTGATCAAAAAGACATGTAAAAAGCATGCAAGAACGCTTGACACAATTACCAAAGATTACATTTGACCACAAGGAGTATCTTGAAAAGCAGCAAAGAATCATATAGACCACATTCTTGACATGCTCAACTGTTAAAACCAAACCATGTAACTATGGTGGTTTTTAAGTTGATTTTGACTTTATTCTATTCCTCCTCGACGCATCTGAACATTTCTGACCCTTTTCTATGGTTTCCCGTCAGAAGGTGCTTTAGGCTTGTGGCGAGCTTTCGGGCTTTGCTTTGGGCCAATCCGTTTGGGTTGACTTTCACCCACAAGGGGATGGGTAACTTTTGGTGTTTGATTTAGAAACTATATATTCTTTGTCTTTTCTGTATTGTCTACTACTTGTATTAAAGTTCCTTTCCATTAAAAACAACAATAACAATATATTTGGTGTTAAAAATATTTAAAAAAAATTCATGACTAAGAAATGTCTCAAGGAAGAATTTACGAACAAATTGTTAACATTAATAAGAAAGTCCAACAAGATTGCTGACTATACAAAGATAAATTTTTATCCACTGATAATGAGCAACTAGAGAACAGCAGTTTAGAAAATATACATGTGACAATCAACCAATATGTAAAGGGACTAGTAATAAATCTTCCAAAAGATGAAAAAAAAAAGGTATGAAATTTAAAAAATTCTTGAAGATCTAAATATATGGGAAGAGACCAAATATTGGTGGATTTGTAGAATCAATTTATGCGTTCCCATTCAATTTAATGTGTTCCCATTAAAATTCAAATGTGGTTTACTGAGGATCAGAAATTGACTCTAATGCGCATAAGGGAGAGTGTAAAACCAAGAATACCAAGACAATATTGAAAAGGAAGATAAGACTTAACTATAGTTGAATAACAGGAAAACACAAGGAGAGAGAATAGTCTAGAAACAGGCCCACACATACATGGAACTTTGGATATAGCACAAGATGTCATAACAAATCAGTGGGGAAGTAAAGGCTTTTAGCAAGGAAGTATTGGAACAATTGATTATTCACATGGAAAAATAGATTGCTACATCAAACCATATTTAAATGACTAAAGACCTACATATAAAAAAGCAAGATTTCATTAAAAGTTTGGGAAGAAAATCAAGAAGAATATTTTTTATGATCTCAGGGTAGGAAATTATTTCTTAAATATAAATCATAAGTGAAAAGAATAATATATTTCACATTAAGTTAAGAAGAAATAGATTTAACTATTATAAAATAAGAAAAATAAGAGTTTTGCACATTTAAAGATAGAATAAATTGAAATATATAAACTTTAGCTAGACATGGAGAAGCTATTTGGCATGCACATAAGAAAGGACTTGTCCTAGAATTTATAAAAGCTTCAACATAAAGCCAAGTGACAGGAATGAGCAACCTCAAAGGAGGTCACCCAAAGACCTTGAAACCCAACCCGTTTCTTTCCTCTTTATAATCAACGTCACATAGATTAAGCAAGAAGGAAGTAATATTCCATGCTCATTAGGCTCTTAAAAATCTGAAAGGAGGCCCTCCCTGGTGGTGTGATGGGTTAAAACACAGCACTAAGAAGCTAAAGCTACTTCATCATGAGTTCGATCCCAGCTCTGGGAGGTGACCACATGGCGTGGCAGACCTCTCCTGACCCGCCCGCTGCTCCCCTCAGCAGTGTACTTCGTCGATCTGCCTGTTCTGCTCCCCACTCTGTCTCTGGTGAATCCTCTCACCCCCACCTGCACCTCTGGCCTGTAGCCCAGTTATGTATGCATAAATAAATAAATCTCAAAAAAAAAAAAAATCTGAAAGGAAAGCTGATTGTGCCAGACTGCTGAGGGGTGTGCCAATGAGCATGCATACTTTGGAGAGCAAGATGGTGATGTCTAACAAGGCAATGGAATTGCTGGACCAGAGGCCGTGAACGTCCCCATCTTCCCGCCATGTTGTTTAATACAGCCATGCTTAAGTGCCAGGGATGATGGCAAGGTATTTTATTTCTTAAAAATATAGTAGGTGGGGCCCTCCCTGGTGGCGCAGCGGGTTAAAACACTGCACTGAGAAGCTAAAGCCACTTCCGCATGAGTTCGATTCTCGCCTGCCCCGGAGGTGACCACATGGCGTGGCAGACCTCTCCTGACCCGCCTGCTGCTCCCCTCAGCAGTGTACTTCGTCGATCTGCCTGTTCTGCTCCCCACTCTGTCTCTGGTGAAGCCTCTCACCACCCCTGAGCCTCTGGCCTGTACCCCAGTTCTGTATGTACAAATAAATAAATCTTTAAAAAATATATATATAGTAGGTGGGAAGAGCTCATGGGACTGTGGTGATGGTACATAGGTGAAGTGGTGGTTGGAAGTCCATGGGGATTACAACTGAAATGGAAAAATGCACAAATGGAGAAAGAGAAATATATACACACACACACACATACACACACATATATATGTATATATAACATACAGATGTACTCAATCTTATTTTCTATACACTTGGCCTGATTGTCCACTGGTCTAATCACTCCTTCAGGGCTGCTTTAAACCCCTTGAATTTTTTCAGTTGAGGTTCGTAATTGCATAGCTTTATACACTTTTGTCAAATTTTGTTAATTCATCAGTTGTTTTACATAGCCAACTTTGGGGGTACATCTGCACACCTCCATCTATGCACATGCTTCACTCATCTTCCACCAGCCCTCCTTGCTGATGTCCTATCTCCTTCTTTCTCCTACCCCAGGTCCCCACAACCCTATGACCAGTACATTTTTCAGAGTGCAAGAATTACTTAGGCTGTGCCTTGCCAGTTCATCTTTGGTTATTTTTGCCAGTATTTCTTTGTTTATTCATATTCCACAGATAAGTGAAACCAAGGGGTACCTGTCATTTACTTTCTGCTATCACTTAGACTAATCAACTCAAGATTCAATCATTTTGTGTTCCAGGAGCTTGGGGAACAGGCACCCTGAGTCACTGCAGGTGGGAATGTAGCTTGACACCAAGTGGAGGTAACTACGCAATATTTAAGACATTATAAATTCCCTTTGACCTAGCACAATTTCCTCTATGTGTTTATTCCAAGAAAAGGAGCAATATTAGACAAAAGATTATCTCCACAAAGTTCATCATCACAACCGCAGCATTGTTTCTTATATTAACAAAAATAAAAGAAATACTGGACATGAACACAGTGGGGGCCAGTAAGCCCTACACTGAAAATGTCTCACATTTTTGAAGTGGTTTTAACGTATGGTACAACTGTGTGGTGGACTATTACACAACCACCAGAGTGATGGTGTTGAAACATTTTAATGATGTGGAAACTTGCAACATCAATAGGTTACAAAACCGTGTATACAGTAGCTCATCAAAAATACCTGTCTATGAACTGAAGCATAGACACTGAACGTTCTGGATGGGTTAGAGGTGGTTTCTAGTTTCTTCTAGAACTCTTGTCTTTCCCAGAAATTCCCTGTGTGTTTAACAAGAGAGCTTCTCCTTGGCTGCCTTGACCTACATGGGCTGGATGACAGATACTGATATTTGGAGGTGGAGGGGATTGATCTTCACAGAATCTGGAGAAGAGAAAGGCCAGGGCTCACCAGCAAAGTCACTAAGGACAGGCTGGGCAACCTAACGGGGGTGGGGGGCAGTCCTGCTTTCGCGCGGTCTTCAGAGCCCCAGGCGGCTGCCAGTAGGCGGCGGTCACCGAAGCGGTAGCCCTGGCGGCGCTGGCTTGAGGCGCTCCGGGCGGCCTCCGGGGCGGGAAGGTGGCGGGG